AGTGTCACGTACCGACACAAGAGGATTAATGAATATGAGGGAGCGGAGTGTCACGTACCGACACAAGAGAAATAAAGATAATGAATCTTGAAAGATGTTAATATACTCAATCTACTGAACATGATTTCCAAATGAGTATGGTATTGAGGCTTGAGTCCTCATGTGTGAACTTGACGGTAATTGTTAGTGATATAGTGCTTGTTGTTGCTACATGTTGAGTATCATAGTTGATTTTATGATATTACTTGGTATATATTGATTTCTATTTTGAGTTGGCCGATGATATCTACTCAGTACCCGTGTCTTGTACTGACCCCTACTTTTATGTTTTCTTCTTTGTTATTTGTGGAGTGCAGCAAACGTGCCGTCGTCTTCAACTCAACAGTAATTCTAGCCAGTCTTCGTCACACTTGATCTTCAGGGTGAGCTAACTCTTCTAGCTTAGACTGGATCTTCTTCCTCATGTGTTGATGCCTTGAAGTTCCGGCATGGACTAGATTATTCTTGTGGTGATGACTTCCAGATTTTAGGGATAATAGTAGTTATTGATTTTGTTAATGAGTTAAGTCTTCCGCATTACTTTATGTTGATATTACATTGAAATGTTAAGGTTTAGATTGGTTGGTTCGCTCACATAGGAGGGTAAGTGTGGGTGCCAATCGCGGCCTGGATTTGGGTCGTGACACTGTCCCTATTTAATTAATAATAATAAACTAAATTAAGAACAAGAACAAACAAAGAGATAGTATAATAATGATATATGCCAAACTTTTCTATTATTACTTTACATTTGGAAATGTACTAATCTCTCTGTCCCTATTTACTTATCCATATTTTCTTTTTTAGATGTCCCTATTTACTTGTTCATTTTGACAAATCAAGAAAAGACAAAAAAATTTCCTATTATACAAACTTTTTGAAAATTTCTAAGTTTTAATTCATCGTTTTTGAAACCATATTTAATAAAGGTAATAACTTCACCATGTTAATTATTGTTATCTTAATATGTGTGTCTTTTCTAAAGTGGACAACTAAATAGAAACAGAGGGAGTACTATTTATAGTGGTAATTTGAAAAGATGTAACTTGGCTACTACTTGTCAAGTGTAATATAGTGTCCACATGGCATTCACAATTGCTTGCAACAAGACAAGTAATATGATTCATTATTTTTGGTGGGCTCCATGTGACACTGTCATTGTTTTACAACACTTTCCCTTGGATGTCTATGTAAATGAAAAGTTGAAAACAAATATACATAGACATTCACAATACGTTTTACTTCTTGCCTCGTTAAAAACCTTTCTAGGAAAACAAAATCTAGTGGGACAAAACCTAGATTAAGGAAAAAAGAGTGCAACATATATTTTACTCCCCCTGATAAAGAACACGATTAAGATGTTTAAATCTTCGCATTCCAATCTTTTGCACCATCTTCTCAAGAGTTAAGGCTGGTAAAGATTTGGTGAATAAATCTACTGGATTATCAGTTGAACGAATTTTGTTTTATATCAATATCACCATTCTTCTGGAGATCATGTGCAAAAAATAGTTTTGATGAGATATGTTTCGTTCTATCTCCTTTTATGAAGCTTCCTCTTAATTGAGCTATGCATTCAACATTGTCTTCAAAGAGCACAATGAATATCTTGACATTACATTTCAAACCACATTTTTCTTTGATAAAATGTATCACTGATCTCAACCATACATATTCTCTACTTGCTTCATGAGTGGCTATTATCTCAACATGATTTGAAGAAACGATTATGGACTGCTTCGTAGGTCTCGATGATATAGCAGTACCTCCGTATGTGAAAAAATAGCTTGTTTGACATTGAACTTTATGTGGATCAGGTAAATAACCTGCATCTGCATGACCAACAAATCTGCACTATCTTTATTAGTATAAAATAGACTCATATCACTAGTCCCTTTTAGATATATGTTTAGTTCCATT